ATTTGCGGAGTTACAGTTTTAAAATCGTCTCTTATGCGTGTTTTCATATCGTGTGAAGTTGTCGGGAGCGTATGGTAGACAACTCCTTTTATGTACCCCCACAAAAAAAATCTAGTGGAGTTAAGTCCGGAGATCTGGGAGGCCAATTTTGAAAGCCATTTCTGCCAATCCACTTGTTTTGAAAGTTGGCATTTAAAAATTGCCGAACTTCCCAGTGCTAATGAGGCGGAGCTTCATCCAATTGAAGCCATGTTGTTCTAATATTGAAAGGGACTTCTTCTTTCTAATAATATTGAGAGATGGTTTATTAGAAACTGGAGAAACATCAAACCATTTAGATGTCCTTCAAAAAAATAGGGTCCAATTAAATATTGGCCCAGTATTCCACCCCACACATTAACTGACCACCTATTTTGATTTTTTATGACCCTGTATGCGCGCGGATTCGTATCAGAATAATAATGAAAGTTGTGTCTATTCCCGAGACCATTGTTATGAAAAGTACATTCATCACTAAATAACAATTTTCGACAAACTTTTAATTTTCTGCCACTTTATCTAACACCCACATGCAAAACTCCGTTCGGTTTTCAAAATCATTTCCATAAAGTTCTTGCCAAAGCTGAATTTTATAGGGATAAAAGTTGTGCTTTTTGATAATTCTGGAAATACTAGATTGACTAATGTTAGTACTTTTGGATATTAGATTTTGACTATTTTTTTTCTTCATCTTCAGTGACAGATTTCCTTGTAATGGGTGTTTTATAATTGCTCCTCCCGCTTTCCTCAAATTGGTGTAATAAGCTCTTAAAAACTGTTGGCTTAGGATGATTTCTTTCAGGAAACTTTTGAGCATAAACTCGAGAGAGAAGCCAATAAACAATTTTTATGAGATTCTCCAAGGGTGCAAATCATGTCAATACGGTCTTCTCTTGGACAATTCTTCATTTTCACTTAGCAACACAATAATAATATTAAAATAAAGACCAACACGTCTACGATTACAAAAAACAATACCACTCTAGCTATCAAAGAGACTTTGCAGTCTAAACTGAAAAATAAAATAAATGATTTGACATGTGTAAATGGCATAGGCAACTTAGATCCATTGGAACCTTAAATTAAACAACACCAAATGGTGCACAGAACGACTATTTGACGTATTTTGTAAAAAGGCAAAAACTTAGCTATGAACATCATAATACCATTCGATAGGTAATTAAAAATTGCATTTCCTGGTAAGTTAAAAAGTATGGGGTTGTATTTAAATTAATCAAGTTTGAGCCACTTAAAGTTCTTATTTGATTAGTTTAAATTTGTGGACACCCTGTATAACATGGTAAGTTTATTATCATTGGGATATAAAATATTATATCTTGTTACACTATAAATTACGCTTACATAACTTAAATACTTCTAAAGTATTTGACACGTGAAAATTAGATTAGATTTTGATTAAATTCGTATTATTTAAAAAAAACCTTAAGATTTAGTTGTTATAAACCTTATTAAAACAGGCACTTATTTTGTTCAGCGAATCCAAAAATGCAATAATATACAGGACATTTCATTTAAAAAAACGCAACCTTGATACCTTTAGAGCTTTTGGGACACCCTGTACATTACGAAAATATTTTTAAAATGTGCGCTCGGTAGGCGTCGGACAATTCATAAAATCAAACGGTTTAGCCGCAAACTTCCGTGCCGTATAGCGTCAATAACCCTGTATAAATAATATTCAATAAGTATTACTGGTCCTTCTTGACTTCGGCAGGAACAACTGCGTTCGTGCCATTCGTAACAGCCTTTTGCTCTGCTTGCTCGCCCGAATATCCAAACTCGTTCCTCCTGGTCCTATCCACCGGATAGATCCACTTTTGGTACAAGAATATCAAAAAGACGATATCGTCCCGGAAACAGCCTATTCGGTACATTGTGGGCATTTTAATGACGAACGCGAACATGTCATCAATGAAAGTGTTGAGGAACTTGTAGGTCAGCATGCGCCAGGGCAAGTGAGCCACCGATTTCAGTTTGTAGTTGATGAAGAGTTGTGGAGTCATCATGATAAAACCAAATGTTAACAAGAACCCGTAGAGAATATCTAGGACAAATGAGTACCAGCCCTTGTGCTCCAAATAGAGCAGAGCATAGCCACAGTAACCGGCCAGCAACGGAAAACAGAGCCAAGATAGATACTTAAAGGCCAGCTCGTCGTAGACCTTGGTACTGGACTCGACGTAGGAGCCTTTGTCCTTGAAAACGATCCGGCCGTTTTCGAATTTCACATCCACAACCTTCATTATTTTCCACAGCTCGATTCCCAGGCCCACAAAACACGACACCTTTACCATGAAGTTCGTTTCATTGTCCAGCACATAGAGCAGCACAATCAGGCTCTGGAAGACGCTGAAGAAAACAGAGCGCACTGAAAGTCCCTCGAGCGAGTTGCGATTGTTCCAAAACTGAATGTCGTTCTTAAACGCCAGCAGCTCGAACACGGAATGCAACAACGAGACGGCAATGGTGATTCCAAGCAAGTACGGATTGGTGTCCATCAGGGTCTCTTTGATGGTATCCTGCTCTTCATCGGTCTGTTGCGCTTCGCCACTATCCCACATGGAAAACATGCTGTTCCTCATTGCCTGCGCCGCATACAATTGCCATTTGAACAATGTCAACGGCTGGAAAGTGATATGCAACCGTAAAGAATCTCCTTCGGGCAACGGCTGGTAATCTCTGGCCATATTCCAGTAGTCATTCGGGTAAAGAATGGGCTTGTACTTCTCCAAGTCCTCAGTGAATGTGATGTATTGGTCGAGCGGTGCTGGAATCGCTCCATACGTCCATACAGACTGGTCAGTGATCAGGTTTAAAGTGATATTTGGGTGCCAGTGCGAGATTATTTTCCCATCTTCAACGGGCTGTTGCTCAGTTTCACCAGTTAACAAGTTCTTGGTTTTGCTGGCTTTCAGCTTTTTATATCTGGAAAGCAAAATAATCTATTGGGATTTATTTGAAAGCTGAAAAGACCATGAGAAGCTAGCTTAGACGAACCCAAGTAACGAAGATCATGCTGCTGATTACTTGGATTTTCTGCAAAATCCATCAGTAAATGGCTTATGTAAAACTACAGCAGTTGAACAAAATGCAGCACAAAGCAAAATATTACAAATATTCTATTCTAACCTGTTAAGTTGTTTTACAGCTGAAGCGATTAGGTTGTAGTCATAACCACTGGAGCCTGGAAACGGGCTGATACCCGATTGGGTAACAAAAGCGTGCAAATACAGCGACCCGTTGTTCTTCATATGCGGCGTAATGGTCACGTTTTTTTCAAACTCGAATATTCCATCGCGGTTTTCTCCCGCAGTCCAGTCGGCATAACTGAGATCGTTACGTGACCAAAACAGATCAGCTTTTGGCTGAAACGTTTCCGACTCTGATAGGAATACGTAAATGCTCAACGGAGTCCCATCGGGAAAAATATTCCGGGCTTGAATAGTGGGGCCTGACTGACTGAGATTTGTTGTAGGTGCTGGGGCTTTTGTCGATTTGAAGAATGAGGAGATTGCGTATATTATGAGGCCACGAACGATCAACGACTTGGCTACGGAGACGAAGGATTCCAGCTTGGTTGGCTGCCGAGGCGGAGCATTTCCATTGGCCTGCCAGAAGGATAGAAATCAACAGGTTAGTTTAAGTAAGAACATGTGTAATCTACTCTAAACTGCCACATCATGCTAAGGGGCTTAACATTAGTTGTGTGCCAACGAGCCCAATTAGGGCAAAGTCTGGCCATTAACTGGGCACTAAAAGCTCTCTTACGTTTTGGCCTTCAACTACTTCCCCTCCTGGCACTTCCTCCCTATTAGCTAATTCTGATCCCGTTCCTTCACTCATTTCTGATATTTTTCTGGTGGAAAATGGATTTGCGGCTCAGAAATTTAGAATCCGGTCAAACATGACGTAGGACATTAAGTTACTGTCAGTGTCAGCTGAGTCAGGTGATTCTATTCAGTCTTCTTTCTTTAACGACGAGGTTAATAAACAAAAGAAGATAAAGAAGATAGTGTATTTAAGCACGATCATATGCTTGTTCTTTTTCCTCGTACAACAGACTCTCTCTTTCCCTGTCTAAAGTCGGCGGTTTATGAACGCTCTGACAGGCGTCATTTGTCTGCATGGCAAACATAAACACGCTCGGTAATGCTTTACGATGTGATCTGGTACTAGGATTGCCGCTTTGCCGATTAAGACTATGCTCCCTTATAGAAAATCTCGTAACAAACCATATTTTTCGTATAAATTTTTCGATTAAATGCCGTTTTCCACCACTTTTCGCCCTCTGAAATTCACCAATTTCCAAAACAAAACAACGGTCGCCA